ACACACATCTCATAATCAAAGAATAATTGTTTGATTTTTCAATCATCCAGGAAATCTCAAGTTGATTCATTTAAAGAGCCGCTCTCGCCGTACCCATCTGTAGTTTACACTTTATTGACTCTTCTAAAATTTTTACAATCCGCACTTAAATTAGATCTCTTTTGAAATTTGTAATCACTGGGTACTTTTTTGCTTCTTCAATTTCATCTTCAGTTTTATTCTTTTCCATCAAACTTTATCCTTTTGTAAAACGGGATATGATAAAAGAATAGAATATGATAAAATATAGATAGAATATGATAAAAGAATTCGCATTCTTTGATTATCGTTGCAATCCATTTCTTTTCTTATTTCTATTTTTAAATGAGATAATTTTTGATTATACTAAATAGCAGCAATTTAAGGCAAACATTTCATTCATGGGATATTTCCTCGTAGAATTGATAATTTTACTTTTCGAAAAGTATATGCAAATATAATAAGTGAATCAGTCACAAATATGAAACCATAGTAAAAATTTTTTAAATTTTACGAAATTACTAATCAATTAATTAATAGCATCAGAAAGAGCAAGAAAGGTTCAATGATTAGTATCATAATTAGTTGAAAAGATCAAGTAATAATAATATATCTGATCTGCTCGCCATAATGGTGTTCAAAAATGCTTTTAGTGGTATGCAATTTTTTGTTAATTTCCTCCATTTTAATGATATTTTCCTGGAAATTTTGCTAAATTTGAAATAACATTCAAATAAATGTCTTAAAAATTCCAGAAAGCTGTGATTGGGAATTAGACACATTATTGGGTGAGCTATCAGCTCTCGAGCAACAGCTTACTGTTAGCGGTGATCAAGCGCTTCTTGGTCTACCAACTCTTCCAATGTCTGCTTCACGTGAAAGCAGTCTAAATCAAAGTAAAAGAAATAGCACTCTTTCCGCTTCAGTTATACAACACAATGACGTGAAAAGGTTAGTTAGCATTGATCATTAATTCCTTTTTTTTTTTCTCCTAAATATTGATTTCTTTTTTCTATCATTTTATAAAAATGATAAAAGTAATTTTTGATTAAAGTGTAAATAGCAAATATTATCACTCAATGAAATTTTTAATTAATAAGGAAATTAAAGGAAAAAAAGAATTGAAAAAATATTCAATAATGTTTTGGTGAATTAAAAAATATTCAATAATATTGCTTATATTTTGATAAAGTATTATCTTTCAGTATCTGATTTGGATGATTCATTTGGTTGTAATATTGATAATGACGATTGCGCAAAAATTAGTAGCAGATGTTTTTTCTCTCTCCCCCTCTCCCTCCCCCTCTCTCTTTCTCTGAGGGTAAAAGAAGTCTGTTCAAAAGCCGTACAGAATGATTCCTAAAGCTAAGCTAAAATCCATTTATTAATATAATTTAGCCTTCTATTATTCTTATTGATCAAATTTGTTACAAATTGGATTTGCAACATTTCTCTTCTGTAATTAACCTATGAGGGACTTTCTCGAAAAGTTATTATTTAATAAAATTGAATGAATTTTTTTGTGTTTATTTTCTAAAATAGAATTTTCAGTTAAACGATACAGTTTCAGATTGCTCTCTTTTTCTTTTATTAACAATTTTGTCAAAAATAATGATAATAAGCCTATGTTGATTTTTCATCCCTCTTAACTATCTTCTGGCTCATTAATTAAATTCAATTATTCTGAATAGCTTTGATAATGTGATAGAGCTTATACTACGGTAAAGAGGGATTTAGTTCGGATAAGTAAAGCTAAAAATTGCTAATAATTAATGCTAACGCATTACTTTGAATCATTCCTGTTTGCGCAGTTACAATTATTTTAGTGCATTTTAACTTTTCAACGAATAAAAAAAAAATACATGTATATACGTTTTTTTTTAAATATTTTTGTCGAAAAATATTGCTATTCCTATTTTAATAATGTTTTCGCTTCTTAAAAAACGATTGTTGAAAACAAAAAACAAAAAAAAAAAAGAAAAAGAGCGTTGAAATTTATCATAGATGGAAAATAATTAAAGAGAAGATGTATAACTGATCGCCAAATCGACATATAAACCTCATTCCGATAAATGAAATGACGTCTACAAAAGGCTATCTCATTCGTTTTAATATTAAAATAAATTTTTAATTTTCAAGGATAAAATTTCAAATGGACAGCGAAAAATTCACACTAAATATTATCATATATTATAAAATATTTTAAGAAATTAACAATTTTAGTTAAAATAGGAAAAAAAAAACCTATTAGCAATAATGATCATTTCTGTGCGTTATCTTATCTTTTGTCACCTGAAAGTTAAGGATCTTCAGATATCCATACCTTCGATATCAATTATCTGTAAAGTTTATTATTGATGACTTTAACCGATTCATCTTTACTTATGAACTTATTGATGACTTTAATCGATTGTCTTTAAATCGATTCGTCTTTAATTTACGAATTTATTGATGACTTTAACCGATCGACTTTAACTTATGAATTTATTGATGACTTTAACTTATGAACCGGTTAGCCTATATTTCTTTTTTTTTTTGCAGGACTGGCCTTCAGTCTCATGCGCAACATTCGTACTCCTATCACGATAATTTCATACAAGGATCAGGTACTACTGGTGGTGCTACAATGTCGACAGATTGTCCAAGTCCTGATCGTGATTCTGCTTTTGGTGATTCTTCCAGTACAGAGTCTCGAAACAACAATCGAAATTGTAGAAATTCGGCTATATCATGTTCCGATAGCTGTCGAGGCTCACTCAATACGCCAAGTCCAACTCAACAGGTTCATTTATTTGCCTATTTCATTTTATTTTTTAGTTTTCATTTTATTCAATGTTAATTTATTCATTTTGTTTCTTTTTGAATTATTTACCTATCTCTGTCAAAAATTTGCAATTGAAGGATATTTGAAAAATTGTAAAAATAGAATTAAAGTGAAGTTTGGATAGTGTCTTAAAAGAAGAAATAAAATTTTTTTAACAAAAAAAAAAAAAAATCGAATCACTATTCTTCAACTGTCCTAATTCATACATTTTCTTTGTTATTAAATGAATAACATTCATCATTTCATACTTAAATTTGAAACTACATTGAGAAAAAACTAACAACTTTCATCTTTTCGAAAGCATATGCAGCATTTCGTAGCAATTTCCATAATTCTTCTTCCTCTTTTCTTCATCCTATCTTCTGAAAATGTGTTTATGAGATTTTTTAGTTGCGGAAATAGTAATTTTACCATGGAAAAACTAATTAAAGCACGAATGAAACGGCCTTCAGCTGATGAAATTGCAGCATTTCTTTTTTTTAACAAATATAAAAAATGGGATGGTTACTGTTGTTG